ACTATCCAAAGCAACAACAAGTAGTATGAAGGTATTGCGGGGAGTACTGCGCTGCCTTTGATGGTAAATCCCGTCGTGGAGCCGAAATAAAAAGCAGGCGTGATAAAAAGCAGTGTGATACTCCCCCAATTCATGTCCTTCTTTGAGCGGTTTAGGCGATGACGTTAAGGTTGACCAAACACCTGGAAAATATGCTCGCTTCGCACAGGACGGTAACAAAGGTTGATATTTTCGTAAGTTTCATGTCCTTGCTGTTTCTTTGGTCACCGGCTTTGAATGAGCGCAAACAAACTTCATCACTTTACGGTTTCATCGTAATGAAGGAGGAGTGAGGAAAGTAAGGCGGAAGGATTATGCTCATCCAAAAAGTTGAGGCCACAAATAAAGTCCCCTCCAGTCGGTTACTCTGGTTAAAACTATAACCAAGGTTTTGTGAGCGTAGATGAACAACTGACAGATAGTTAAAAACAATGCCAATAGATTAGCATTCGAAGTAGAAAAAACTTGGGTGCTCAAATTGATGTGCTATAGTTGATGAACTGTTGGGGAAGATTCTGCCTCAATCAGTTAGTGTAAGACATTATCAAACACAGTTGGTCTAAAAAGAGTATCACCATAAAAATTTACAGTACCGAGGGTAGTTGCGCGTGATAGACTATTCATTTCTCGGGGTAGGATTTACTGAATAGAACAATTCTTCGTCTTTTTTTGAGGAGCCTTACGCCAATACGCGGTCAAAGCGGACCAGAATTATGACCAAGCATGAATCTAAAATATTTACGAGAATGATATGAACGTGGAGTCTACAAATCCCGCAATCACCACCAACTGCGCAAAAATGGTACATTAGGTTTCCAACGTCTGTGGGGCTGTTTGACCAGGAGGTCCTGACAGACAGGTTAGTCGACCAGGTTAAATTTTCATTCGTTGGACTTCGTTAAATCGTCCCGGATGTGTTTCAATGATATCTCACTCCCGATTTATGGAAGCTGTCTGCTTGACTTCGGGTCATAGATATGTATATTTGTACGCTCTGTGTTTTGCGCACGGATGCTCCACCAGATTGAGACTGAGGCTGTATGCTAGCCAATCCGACAGCTTTTGGTGAGAAAAATGCGCTCGTCCCCTGAGAAGCTGATAAATACGAGTGGTTGTCTTGTCTAGTTGAGGTGTCCTATCTTTCTGTCTACTTAAATCAACAGGTAACAATGCTTGTTCCAAAGACGATGGATCAAGATTCTGAACGCCTATCCATAGTGTTGGTCAGTTCAGATCACTCTAAATTCATTCGAGGGTAAATCAACTCTTTGCGAACAGCCTCGGTAGGTCTACTCACACCTTCACAAAACGAGAAACTTTGTAAAATTTCTGCAGTGTTACAAAACAAACTACCTTCAGTTTAGATCGTATGTCTTATACTGAATCCTCTATTGCTTAGAGGTAGCAAAGTAAATATATCATCATTCATGACGGGAGGAAAGTCCTAATGGATGAACACAACTCATGGAAGTGAAACGGATATGATAATCGAGTGAGAATCTACTCCAGCCGAGGAGAAGGCCTTAGTAGTCTATCTACTGGGCTAGTGGACAACAATCATCGGCCTCTAGGAGCAGGATGCGTAGACTTGGTTACTATCTGTAGGCCTGGAGTCAGAAGTCACACCCGACAAACTTAGCTATTGAAAGTCAATATGTTGTTGTCCCATGCTAATGTTGTCTCTCGTTTCGCGAACAGGTAGGGAGATGGAATAGTTCAGCAGGATGAAGCTCAATAACCAGATGGCAAAAGAAATATCACCATTATAGTACAGTTACAACACGGTGAGGTTCGCGTCGGTTACGTTTTCACGAGGAACCACTTGTCCTTGACAATGCGATCCATCATATTTCGAGGGCGTTCCCTCAGATTTGTCACCGAGATAGGAAAATTTGGCGCTATTCACCATTTTAGCATCTTTTTATTCTGTATATAAATCCGAATCTGCAAGGAACATCCTGAGAACTCTTCGACGGCCCAAGACCAGTTTTGCCCTTCTTTGGGTTCATCAGTTAGGCGCAGTCCCCAAGTTTCCATCAAGTTTGAGCTCAAATTGCCGAATGCGCTCATTTGCACGCCAATTTGATTTTCACGGGAGATTTACTTGGATTCCAGCCAAATTCCTCATTTATGATATACTTCAGCCTACTTGGGTAGCGTTCCTTCAGAAAAGCAGATTGCCAAATCTCTAATATAGCATTAACTGGAACACGAGACATTCTTTTTGCAGCACATTCAGTTGAGCGATATCATAAACGGCAGATTCAACTGCAATTCACTTGAGTACCCATGAAAAACAAATTTGTGTGCAAGTTAGTGTGTTGCGCAAACCGACACTCCACTTCGGACAAAGGTGACCTAGTTCTGGGTTGATTCGGTTAATTGTTCGATTCACAAAATCTATAGGGAACTAATATGAAGTTAAACAGTACACTATTTTTCATAAGAAAGTTTGCCTCTATTTTCGTAAAGCCCAGGTTTCTCACACTACTAGATGTCTTCGTAGAGGTGTGTAGTTGCCGGAGGGAACCGTCAGCATTATTTTAGTTAGCAATGTTTGTGTGAAAGTCCCTCCTGAAAGCTAACAACCTCCATTTCTTTTGAGGAATTCTCGGTCCCCACTCAATGTTCCCGCTGGATGAGTCAGGTGAACCTTCTGTCGGTTCAAACTAATGAAGTACACTCGGTCGCTCAGTTAAGGCAATGTATTTGACCTTTTTGTCGAAATCGCCTTTGTATATATACATATCTGTGGCATATATAATGTGTTTGGAAAGAATTCCATCCTTCGCCGCCGAGACAGTTCGTTTTATGGGTTTCCTCTCGTCTGTAGTCCTTGTGCTGGACCTCTTTGCAGGACCCTCTTTTTATTCTGCACACAGGCATACACTCCAAGCAGAAAGCAACTTCAATTCAAACTGAGCAGTCTAAATTCACTTGCTATGAGTGAAAATTTGAGCCAGACAATTCACCCTTTCACTGATACTTCGCGATTCCAGGTTTACCAACTCGTCCTACTCTACTCTCTAATCCTATTCTGAATAAGCAAATCACCACAGAGCAAATATATTGATTGGTTAGCTAGAAAGTGTATGCGTGCTAAACCTATATCGCTAGCAAGTGACTAGATATGGTAGTTAGCCATTCGACCAGAAAAAGTCATCCATCTTGTGATAAGCTCACCAGCACTTTGAATATGGGAAGCCATGTCCCCAATTTGTCCTGTCTTATCTAGGATTGGAACACAGTAACGATTGGCTACTAGAGCCTAACTGAGACAGACATGGTGTCATGTTCAGGTCAGTTTTGATCCCTTTTGCAAAACCAAGTAGATGCTTCTAGAAGCAGAAGTTTGTTGTTCATAATCCTACCCAGTCAAATGAGTGTGCCTTTGAGTTATTTTCAGTAGTACAGCGTGTTTCATGCAAATGTCGGACAAGGGATTTCACAGCGTTGGGTTTACCGTTCTGTTAATAGGCTTTTCTATATGAACCTCGGGATTTTGTTACAAAGGTAAAGCAATGTTAGTTTTTTGCTACCAATCAGCCACTCCACTGACATTCCTCGGCCTAGCACGATACCACAAGGCCGAAGTCACCTTGACTTGTTGTCGCCCTCTTGATCTCATGTACCGTTTCCCATTATCGTGATGCTTTCTTTAATGCCTCCGAGTTAGTGGACTACAAAAGGATGCTAAACTCATATGGTGGGAGCACATGTTATTTAATCTATTAACTGTACCCAGAATACAGTATTTCCACTCAGGTGGACTCAGCTAGAGTGAAATCAGCCGGTGCGATTTGAGGGCAACCGCCTCGCCACTCCGGCTGTTCGGGATAGTTGGGCGTGGTGGACACGTGAAATCACACAATGGCGTACTTCTCAACTGGCGTTTGAGGCAAATGCGCACAAGCCCCACCAACAGAGGTGGTGTTAACGCCCTAATCCCACGCGCTTGCTACCGTCTTGGCAGCAAACGAATGTTTCCTCTGCGTGTCCCACCAATTTCAGGTCATGAGGTTCCCTTGCAGCAGATAGGGACACGTTTGGTGGTGGTCTGTCTGGCGCTGCGTGTGTGCGCGTGTAGCGAGCGCGCGTTGAACAATGCGGTTCACATACAGGCTAGTCTAACTGCGATCTGAATAGCTGCTTTCCACTCGCAGTCAACGCATGCGCGCACGCGTCTCTCGCTCTTTCTGGCGCGCGCATGCCCTGCGGGTAATCAATACGGTCCGCGCGCGCGACCAAGTGCGGCCGCCTAAGCTCAGCGAGCGACGAAGGAGACCACAGTTGTTGATTGGTTGGTGTTGGTAGACCAATGAGTGGCGAAAAACCTGACCAGTGCTGGTCAATGGCTCTCCGCCTTTTCTTTCACTGCCGTCATGTGGGCTGGTTTTCGCTACCCCAATTAGCCTGCGAACCAGCACGAACACAGGACCCCATACTACGGGCGTAGTCGCCACAGTTCGACCGTTGGACTCGAATACCGAACTCGCTGCGTGTGTGCGCGTGTAGCGAGCGCGCGTTGAACAATGCGGTTCACATACAGGCTAGTCTAACTGCGATCTGAATAGCTGCTTTCCACTCGCAGTCAACGCATGCGCGCACGCGTCTCTCGCTCTTTCTGGCGCGCGCATGCCCTGCGGGTAATCAATACGGTCCGCGCGCGCGACCAAGTGCGGCCGCCTAAGCTCAGCGAGCGACGAAGGAGACCACAGTTGTTGATTGGTTGGTGTTGGTAGACCAATGAGTGGCGAAAAACCTGACCAGTGCTGGTCAATGGCTCTCCGCCTTTTCTTTCACTGCCGTCATGTGGGCTGGTTTTCGCTACCCCAATTAGCCTGCGAACCAGCACGAACACAGGACCCCATACTACGGGCGTAGTCGCCACAGTTCGACCGTTGGACTCGAATGCATACCGAACTCAGTGTATACTGATTACGGAATATTGACAGAGCAGTATGCTTCAGCGCCCCTCTCTCTTGCCGGCATCCATGCGGGCTACGTGCCGCACAGCTACTGCACCCAAACAGGCGGATCCCGTACCAGTCCCGGTCACGGAACCGGATTCGAACTTTGCCTCATTTTGTGAAGATGAAGAGATTATCATAGTTGAACCTACTGATCCAGATGAGGACAGGTTAAAAAGATGTCAGCTGACCGTGACTGAGAACGTCAGCGAAAGTCGATTACCGATGCAACACCAAATGGAAAACGAACCTGTACATACAGATAACTCTCGGCTCGTTACTTCCAGTTCCCTTCCTGTTACGACAACTCCCGTCATACAACTAACCGGACAGGTTAATCCTGGAACTGCTGGATACGTTACTCTGAATGACGCATTACAAACGCTTTTGCCGTGTATATCTCGACCGGCTCCGCTCCCTGCTGTTTCACTCCAGCCTGTTCTGACAGCAAAGTTCGGAAGTACATCGAACTTGGTGAACCCTTGTGTGATTTCAAACCCAATCGCAACACTACTGCTCCAATCTCCTCAAACCGCTCCGGTCACAACTTCCACCAACACACCAGCCATGAATGTAAGCAGCTCTATTAACGCTGCATTTGAGGAGACCACGAAATTAGCACAGTCTATTGCACCTCTGAATCCACTAGTTGCTGCAATTTTGGTCAACTGTGCCACTGTAAATATGATCAGTCAGCTTGCTGGATCCATTTCAACACCCATCTACAACACAAGCGCGTATAGTGCGGCCAGCACGATGCAAACGGGATCTGCGTTGAACGCATTACTGCCTACCTTATTGTCAAACTTTACACTACCGACCAGCATGTTTGCCACTCCAACCGATTCAAATCAACGAATTTCGAACGGGTATGCGAGTACTGTGTCAACTACTCCCTCAATACCGCAGTGTCAGCCCACGGTACTAGATAATGCAACAACTCAACAGGTCTCCACCGATCAGATTAGTTGTGTTACTTCATCCGCTACTACCTCTCCTTCAAACCCCAATAATTCCTTTACCAAAACTGCTAGTCGTGTTAAACGTTTTAAATGCCCTGAACCGAATTGTGGTGCAGCCTTTTACAGCCGATTCAATCAGACGGAGCATATTCGAACTCATACCGGTGAACGGCCTTTTACGTGTCCCAATCCTGATTGCACGGCTGCGTTCAAGAGGAATCGAGACTTGCGCGAGCACTGGCACTTACACCTTCAGGATTCCACAGCCACGCTCAGCAACTCCTCACATCCCATTAAAATTGATGATGACGAGGAAGAGTCTGAAGTAATCCGACCAATAGATGAACATATACCCAAGCAATCCTCTCCCTCTGTCTCGTTGGAAAAGAACAATTCGACCGATCTGTTAAATTCACTGCATATGTCTTCACAGTCAGACTCGGCTAACGAATCAGGCGATTTGGAGAATAGAGTTGATTGGGGGTTGGCAATTCCTGATCCTGATCCTGAACGCTATCACTGTACCTATCCAGGATGTGATAAATCCTACGCAAGGCGACACAGACTCAACCAACACCTTTCAACGCACACCGGTAGCGGCCCTATTCGCTGTGATCAGCCCAACTGTCATGTCCGGTACTTTTCAGAAGAGGATTTACAACGTCACAAATTAGTCCACATGTATGCGAATGATAAACTTCCTAGGCGTCGACATGCATGCCCCTACCCAAATTGTGACAAGGCTTACTCGAAACTGAACAAGTTGAAAGAACACCTCCGTTCCCACACAGGAGAGCGCCCCTATGTGTGTCGAGAGCCAGGATGTGGTGCCGCTTTCATACGGCTGTACGGAGTGCGACGTCACGAATTGACCCATGTATTTGGTCGCAGACGCGTAAGACGTTTGACCCGGTTTCCGACAACGTTGGCTCATGTTTTACGTACTGCGGGTTATGCACCAATGCCGAACGGGTTGAACGGGTCTGTTCCAGAAAACCAGTCATCAATGCTATCAAAGCCTTTAAATTCAAGTGAAACTAAGCCAGATTGTAACATTGATACCCAGGCAACACAACCCCGCCTACTACCGGCTATAGCACCAAAAAATCCGGCAATAATCTCCCAGAGACCCATGTCCCCAATTACTGGTCCGCCTGGGATAAGGAAACCACATGTCTGTCCGTTCAAGGACTGTGGTAAAGCCTTCCCTAAAATGAACAAACTACGCGAGCACATATGTCGACATACAGGTGAGCGGCCTTTCGTTTGCGACAAATGCCAGGCTTCGTTTGTTCGGATGTATGACCTTCGAAGGCACAGTAATATCCATCTACGTGGAGCGGAACCCAGAAACTCACACCGCAACCTTGCTCCGAGACTCTTGGAAACTGGTGAAAACTCGATAGTGTCACTGACTGCGGATCACGAACAGACCAAGCTGGAAGTTCCTCCTGATCCACTGACCTCATGAATGCCACACATCTCGCCTTTCTCAAGCCGTCAAAATTACCAGGACGCCTGGCAGTTTCGATCATCACCTTTGTGAATAACTGTTGAACGAGTCCGAGATGCCGGTATGTTTGCTGTTGTTCTCGTGTACACCATACTCAGTTTTGAATCCCTAGTCACATGAATTTTGCTTCCTTGAAACAGACTTATTTTAGACAGTATGGTTTGGGAAAACTCTTTTTATTTTGTTATTTGTGTGCGACTTAGTTAAACTTTCTTTCGACACGATCTCACTTATTGGATTTTTAACTGCATTTGATGACGTGGAGCATTGTAAATGTGGTTACTGATACTTCAACCTGTTTTGTATAGCTCCCCTTTCGAGTGTGAATGCGATAACTTTACATTCATTGGTTCCACGGTGCACCTATTATTCACCAACGTGCATTTCACGCTGTGTTGTTGTCGTTGTAAACCTCGTGACCTTATCACGTGATTGTGATTCCACCGTTCAGCTGACATTTCCTCTTGTTCACAGCCCACTTTTTTCTCCCTCTCGATGTACACAAGTTGCGCGGTCACCAAACAACACTCCTGTCAGTTTCTATTTTTGGTTTTTCCTTCACCTCGGTTCATAGTGTTAATTCGTGCTCTGAGTTCGTGTTCTCTTTGCGGAGTGTATTTGTTTGTACTGTTGCATATCGTAGACGGTCCCTGCACTCAGGTTATTCGAAACAGGAGCAGCACATCAGACTCCGCTCTCTCTCTCTCTTTCTCTGAGTGAATTTTGTGTATCGACGTGATGTATACATCCATTTGCACACCACTTATGATAATGAGGGTCCATCTCCACTGAGCTCGGAACATGGTAGCACAAATGGTTCCGTCGATGCAAAATCGATCAATGCACTTTGGTTGTGAAGGTTGTTCAATATGTAACCCATGTGCACTTACTGACCTAATCGTGTGATCAAAGTTTCTCGCTGACTTGGTTAAAAATCAGCCAGAGACGGCTGAGCAAGCCTTCAGATCACATGCATTCAAAAAAGATGTGGTGGTGATAAATTGCCTGTGCAGCAAATCTTTGAAGTGTGGCTATCATCTCAGTTCTTCAGCTATGAACAGCAAACAGAAAGTAAATTGTTTCAGGCAGTTCTAGTTGTTCTCACCAAAAAGAAGGTAGTGGGTAACTGCATGGGTGGTTTGACCGTGGTGAGCAGTTGAAACATGCTCCTGAAGTACAGATATTAACTCATTTCAACATTTTTGTAATGCACTTCTCATAAGGTTGCTGAGAACTCCTCGACAGCCCACGACTAGTTTCGCCCTTTCTGGAATTCATCAGATAGGTGCAGTCCCCGAGTTTCCGCCAACCTTATGTTCTACTTGAAACTAGGTTGCAAACTTGAAACTTAGTTTGCAAATCAGTTCAACATTCTTTGACTTGAGCTTTTTTGAGTAGCCTTCGTCTTTGCCTTTTTCCCAGCCTGTTTTTTCAACTACTTCTGACTCTGATCAGGCTTCCACACAGTCGAGTAAGTTAATGGCCTGTTAATCATAGTCAAAACAGCTGCTGGGACGACATCTCGTGCATCGACCGTGAGATATGAGGAAGTTGAGGCCTGTGGGCATGCAGCAGACCGCATACCTTCCCAACCGAATTCCTCTGGAACTTACGTAAAATACGTGACTCTGATAATGGTGCCAGAAACCTGACATCCTCGGCCATATTCTACCGCTATAGACATCAAACAGTTTGGTTAAGGGGCCAGGTTACGGACCGGAAGGTTCGTGGTTCGAACCCAGCATCTCGTTTGCTCTTGTCTAGGCCTGGAGAATCTAACAGTAACCCAGTCCTCGTGCCTCCCGTTGGCATGGCAGTTGGGCATCGAGATGGTGCTACGGCTGAACGATACCATTTTCAGTTCACTGTGAGGCCCACTGAAGGCTTACCGAGTTGTCAAAGGTGTCCATTCGAAAGTAACGAGTAGTGAAGAAATGTTGCGCTCTTGAGCTTGAATTTCGTCTCAAAAAGCCATGAAGCATTCCAGGGCTTTCGAGTCATTTGTTCTTCGTCCGTAGTACCTATCTCACATGGTTCAAATCCTCAACCATCCCAATCCCGAGGACGAGTGGATGGTCAACATTATGGTTGAATCCGATATAGCTTGGAAGAGTAGACTCTGGTTATGACGGGGAAACCTAGCATTTTAAATGGACGATACTTTGAGAAAACCAGATATGTCAAATTACCCACTTACCCTTGGTTGAGTTTAAGGAGGGTTAGCAGCCCGTACGGGGAGAACTACATATTGATTATGAACCATAGTTTAAACAGAATTTGGTTTTTGTTGTTTTGGGCATAACGTCCCAGAAGCGGTCGAATAACTACACGGAGATACCTCCTGACGATTCGAATATCTACTGCTAATCATTCGTTTACGATAGATGTTATGACCTTGTGTACGCGTAACGGTTACACTATGACGCTTTATACACCGATCTAGGTTAACTGTCCGAGCGGTACTCATTGTGATGCAGTAGTTCTTAAGAGGCACTGTTTGTCCACAAATACTGGTTCCCTAGAAAAGGCCACCCATGAAGAATTATCAGAATAGTGCAGGTGTTGAAGTGTCCCTTCTCGAGGTGAACATCCTGTCCATTTGTCTGAATAAGCATCGAAACGCATCACATTCTGGGGTAGTACTGCAGTAAAAAAAAGAGCTACTAAGGGAAAATAGATTGTATATATATATATATATAAATTAATCATCATCGTCTTCAAACATCAACATCACTGTAAAAATACAGGACTGTGGCATCACAGTGGGAGCAGTTGCGCACCAATCTACAATATAGCGTTACAACAAATTCTTCCTGGTCATACCATCTGTTTGGCAGGTTATGGTTCCGATGTACAATCCTTGCTGGCATTTCAAACATCTCACCTCAATTTTGAGCATAATGATCTTTATTGCTCTGATGTCCATGCATTGCCCTGCTGATGAAGTATGCAGCAGTTCAATTTATCCACAGAAAGCCTCAATAGTGACTGGCTGATTTCAGTTATACGGGAACTTACCGGTAAATTTACGGCACATTCTTGACTCCTGCCCAAGTTTGATCCAGAGTTGAACTGTGCCCTTCGTATGTGTACTACTTATTGAACATTAAAATGCGATAAGAATTCATGTGGCCTCTTCGGATTGGTGAACACTGGCGAAGGAAAAGCTGTTGTTTGTTGCTTGGCCTCCAATTCCACCCATAGATTATCTACGTTTGATACCGATAAGGTCATGTTGCGAGATGCCTGATTAGCTCGGAAGCCAAAATATTTGTGGTGCGAATGCCCAGATGTGTGCACATGAGAAAGATTCGCGCACGACTAAAGTATCCCGATTTTTCTGGAGAAAATATAAACCCAAGGGCATTTGGAGTGGTTTTTGTTGACCACTGCGCCAATGTCCCACAACCCATCGGTTCAAAACCGATTGTCACCGGACTGAGAAGCAATACAGGGATGACGGCAGGTGTATTTTTCAGTCACATCGGCAGATTCAAGTGGTCCGATTAACGGAACGAATTCACAGTCTATATAGCTCCCGATCTGTTATGTGTGGCTCACAGTACTTCTGACCTGTTGCAACGGTCACAGCTATACTATCTGCTCTATGCAGTCTAATGACTGCCAACGTGATAAAGTAGTGAAAACTTTCAGGCAGCGCCGAGCTCACGACAGCCGACCATGTGTTAGTTGTTTCCCTCACATTGCTAACATGCGATTGATCGTAATTGAGAAACGTGTCACGTTCGCCACATACTCTCATTTGCACACGAATTCGGTTTTGACAGGAGGCTCAACTGAAATGTTTAGGATTTTCCATTCAAATGAATATGTAGCACGAGACCGCCTCGTGATTCTGTGGGGGCGTGATGGTTCAGTGGTTAGGGCGGGGATTTACTGACTGGAAGGTTCGTGGTTCGAACCCGCTCTCTGCCACTCGACTTCCCCTGTCTAGGTTTGAGCAATCTGGCAATATCGAAACTCTCGTGCTTCCTTTGGGTGGTACGACAGCTAGGTACCGTAAGGATGTTGCTACTGAATGATTTTTATTCATGATTTAGTTAGTGCGATATTCGGAATATCGTATTACATCATCTAGACGTAACATACTGTTCATAGAGTTGCAGAAAACCTTCCGACAGCCAGCGATCGGCTTTGTTCTACATGCGGCTCAAATGGGCGCAGTACCCAGGTTTCCATTAACCTTTAATTCGACTTGAACTTAACTTTCAGGGCATCTGCTAACTGCTTTCAATTGCACACTAATCGTGCTTTGACTGGAGACCCAACCGGATTCAGCTAAATCTCTTGTTTATGATGGCGTTGTTCGGTGATTTTCAAGGATATTCGTTCATTTTGGCGATGTGCCCTAACTTCGTCAGGACACTAGTGAGGAGTAGAATACGAACTGTTAGGATTCAACTTGCCTACGTACTTGTAACGAAAGTAAAAGATGTGGCATTTATGAGGCAGACAAATAGCAACAGAAATCGAAGGAAAATCGGCATGACATATTCATTGGTAAATTGCATTTAGGTCAACGGGACAGTCAACTGAATCTCCCGTTTACACTATTCTTAAAGCAGTGTGTTATGACAGAAGGCGTCACACCTCTTCATAGAAGGGTGGGTACTGGTGAGTTGTATGATCAACATAAGTTTCTGATCAATACTTCGAGTGTGCACAAAGCTGGCCATCTTGTGTTGGTAGAAGCTGCTTCACTGAATCCTAGCAATCTTGGAGTCGAAACACGCAACAAGGTTGACGATAAACTGTGTGGGTCTCAAAGACTGCCTTTTTTCTGGTATATGGTGCGCTATCGATGTTCCTGAAGACACAGTTTTCAATGGTACACCAATTTTACTCGTTTTGGACTGTGATATCTTCACGAAGGAATGACACAAATATAACGGCAAATCAAAGTGAACCGGCGAATCTATTACTTCTTATAACCAGCC